AAAAAACCCGTCACTCCCAAATCCAGGTACGGAAAAAACCCGTCACTCCACAGTCCTGACGCTAGGTCCCCAAGAAGGTTAGCCCACAAGCCTTGCAAAACGATATGTTGCATTCATGTTTTGCCGGCCTGACTTTTTGCTTCCAGGATTGTTTGAAACGACCTTTGAACTTTAAACAGTTCGGAGCTGGGAGCCCACCGCGTGCAGGCAGCCAGTGCATTACTGGTGGCCAGCTTCGTGCTGGCAGCCAGTTTTGCTCTGGGGTGCCTGCTGTGTGTGCGCAGCCAGTCCCAAACTGTTTAAAGTTTAAAGTTTGACTTTTTGTTTGGGCTCTGTGCGGGGTTGGAAACAATCCTGATTCAACAAGTGGCCTTTGCGTGGCTCAAACACAGGGATACAACATGTGGTGAAGATGGGCGAAACAAATTCACCAACAAGCCCCGCGTTTACAGAAATCGCCAACGAATGCCGCAGCCGATCGAGATCACCACCAGCAAGAATGGCGCACAGTGGGATGATGAAAGGTGAATCTCAAGAAATTGATGAGCCTCAGGATGCACCAACCATCCTGCAGCCTGGCAGTATTCTATCTCCAACGGACTGGGAGGAACCTACCATAGATCCACGCGAGCATGCCAAGGAAGAGGCTCTTGTTTCGGACCCGACACAGGTTCAGACAGAAGAGCCTACAATGGATGCAAAAGAAGAGCAGGAGGAGGTGTGCAAGACCGAGGAGGGCGAACCAACAGCTGTTGCTACAGACTCAGATGGAGAGAGCGTCGCTACAAAGAAGAAAAATGATCTGTGGATTACTGCTGTTCCATTTGCCGGACTGGTTCCACACTTGCCGCCACCATCTCACTCTCCAAATGACTTTCTCCCACCGCCACTACCAAAAGACGAGCCTACGGAGAATGAGAATGCGGCCGCAGACTATTGGACCGGCGGTCTTCCTGAACTACCTCAAGAACACGTGAAAGACACAGATTTGCCTGTGCCTAGGGTGGAAGACTTTCGACATGATTCAAAACATTTATTTGTTAGTTATATTTTATTTTGCTGATTGTGCTGTGGTTCCCCGAAGATGGTTTTCATTGTTGTTGATGCGTGTCCCAAGGATTCGATCAGGTCCAGGGGTGCTCGCTCAGAACCTACAGAACAGGAATTGCACGAGGCCTGGGAGAAGTTCCGCCGAGTGAGGTCACAGAAAAATACACGTGAGAGAGAAAGGAAACTTCGGAGGAAGAATGAAGCCAAGGCTGCCGCTGCCACTGCAGCGGCAAAGGCTTCAAATGATACTTCTAAGGCTGTGGCTGAGGTTCCAAGCAAGCCTATGGCTGCTGGATCTATGGATGCTGCAAGCAAATCTGCTGCGGCTGCTGCTAAGGGTGCTGCTGTTCCAAGCAACCCTTGACTGTTGGATGTGCGCAGGAAAAAAATCTCCAGGGCAATCTGCCACATGAATTTGGAGTTTGATGAGTGGTTTGATCTGTCATTTGACATCATTGACATGCACTATTAATCATTTGGCCAGTCAATTGATTTGTCGCGCGATCTTTTTCTTGATGTGCCATGTGTGATTTCGCTTTATATTTGTCATTTGATCAGCTGTGTGTCATTTGCAATGAGTCATGTTTGTTTGTTAACTGCTTTCATCACTTGAACATGCGCCAAGGACCTTGGATTCTGACCTGGACAGCCAGTGCAAGGCTGCAATTTCAGACATGGACTGGACGAGGATTCCTTTTGTGCTGGAGGCCACCCTGATTATGTGTTTTGCGCTGGCAAGCTGTTTGTTGGATGTAGCCTGATGAACAACTATAAGCTAGCTCTTGAGCCGGAAGGCACAAGGAAAATCCAAAGAGGACTATGCGCAGGAAGCGCAGTCGAGATCAAACAACGCTTACAAAGCCAGCTTGGTGGCTGCTTTCAACTACTTCACGACACAGCTGGAATCGGACCAAGCCCTGTGGGAGGCTATGCAACTGAGGTGAGGGGGTTATGTCCTTTGATTTTTAGCTGTTAGTTGTTTTGCCGCGCCTGATTGAACCTTCCAGATCCAACAAAGAACACAGCAAGAAGCGCGTGGAGATGCTGAGGAAACTGGAAACAATGAAACTTGGCTGTCAAGTTGTGAGTCAATGTAATCTGTCACTGCATCAATGTGACAATGAATGAACTCAATTGTGATATTGACATATTGTGATGAAATTTAAGACCAAAAACAGCACAATAAACTTGAAATATGATCCGAACAGGCATGACAAGAGCTGGGAGGTTGTGCATGAGTACGCCGAGCGATTTCGTGTCTGGTCAATCAAAACAGAACACAGCATCACCCCCACCCTGCTACCATGGCTGGACGAGATGATGGAAAAGGTTACCTACAACCGGGTCCAATCAGAAGAGTGCTCCATCCTGTACATCTGCTTGCCAGTGCTGGGGGTCGTTCCGGCGATGAAGTTGCAGTTCATACTACAAACCATTACATCGTTTTTGGCAGCCCGGGCGTCCAACTCAATCGCGCTTGTTGTGCATGCAAACCGCGCTGGCGAGGCCAAGAAGAGGTTCGTGCCTTAGAATTGTCGTGGTCAAAGTAGCTGCCAGCGCCTGGCTCTCAGCAGCTGGCAGCCCACCGCTGGTTCCCAGCAGTCGGCTGCCAGTAGCTGGCTGCCAGTAGCTGGCTGCCGTTTGACACCAATTATATGTGCTAGTTGTGTTCATGCAGTTGCTAGTTTCTGTCTTGTTTAGGCTTGATCAAATTGTGTAGGGGCTCAGGTGTGTATCCTTCTTTTCGGTATTGAATGCAACAATGCAACATAAATTGACTGAACGCACGAACACTCACTCACTAAAACCCGAGTCCTATTTTGTTGAGTGGGCAGGGCTAGGTGATCCGTGAGAAACATGGTAATAAAGTAAAGGTTCAACACTTGGCATTTTTATGCTCCTTTCAAATCCATTGCGCTTTAATCAGCCCATCTTTAAGCCACAGCTTGACTTCGCTCTTGATTTCACTGCCACAGGTTTCTTTGATTGGTTCTCAAGTGTGTTGTTGACCAGTTGTTAGAACCTTTTGGTGGTAACTCTTTATCACTCATAAAGCAAGTCATAAATAAGAAGTTCCTGCCTGCTGACCTGGCCTCAGGCTGCGTTGGAGACTTCCATCAACATTTATTCATATGTATACACACAGTATATACACCTTCAGACTTCAGAACGTCAAACAACATGTGAACGGTGTACGGCGGTTCCTCTGGATGCGTGCAAATGGCTACTTATTAAACATCAAATTGACTCCAACTTTCCCCAGATTGCTTTCCCCATTTGCAACGCCAACATGACCATCCTTGATTTAGTCTAATGTGGTCAAAGTAAACGCCCAAAGTTTGCCCTCTTAGTCTTGCCCTTAGATTGTGCGCAGGGCTTGCCCACAATTTCAGTGATCCCCAACAAACTCCCGTTCCCCAGCTTCCCACGAATCCGTGTTGGGCCAAAACCAATCAGCTGGAGATCATACCGCGCTGTGCAAGACAAACACTTAACATCACTTAACATATAGTCAAACAAGTTTCCAATTTCCGCAATCATGTCACATTTTATCAGGAGTGCTTCATGTAGAACAAATTTAACTATTAAATATTGTCATTTGTATTATACCGCTAATCATCCCTTGATCATTAGTTTGCAAAGAATATAAAGGATGAAACACAGTGACGCTGATCTTGAATTCCCACTGTACACCTCATTGCCCAATCAGCGGTTGTCAGCACTTTTCAGATGTCAGTTTGTTCAACTCTTTTCATGGCCTACACCAATTCCCACCAAGTGCACCTCCCCGTATGATCCAAATGATTGAAATGATGGAAATGCAAAACATAAGGCTGAAACAAGCCAGGCCTACTAGCCAGGAAATGACAGAGTAAAAACTACAAACAATTGACTGAAAGACACATGGTGGTCAACTTTGCGTATTCACAAGCCAAGTGATAGATCAGCCAACATAGAACGGATTTCATTTGGCAGCTATTAGCATATGGCACACTTCATGTGTTCAGAGTTGTTGGCAACTGGTCTAGATTCCAGAGACCAATTCAGGAAGGACACAAAAATGGAACCAGATGGCACCAAAGATGAGATCATGGAGGACGCTGCTGAGGATGATGATGAAGGCCGTCCAGCGGATGAGATTGAAAGTGACACGGAAAATGATGGTGGCGATGTGCTACCTGAATTTCAACACAAATTCGAACAAAGTTTGCGTCAGCCTTCACGGAACCTTGTCGTTCGCGACCTGGTCCTGTGCTTCCAGCCAGAAAGCGTTTACGGCAGAAGGTCAGCATTTCTCAAGGCTTTGATGGTAACAGTACCTCAGCATACATTGGAAATAGAAAATACAATTCGCACGATTTGCATTTATTTGACATTGACGTATTTTGAGGCAAAGGGCCCGCTTGGCAGCAACATCTTTTGGAAGTCTCCTGCCTGGAAAAGAGGATTGGTCACTGATGTCCGGATGTGCGCTAGGAGCGAGATGTGGCGCCCTTCTACCCGTTTGAGCATGGATGCCGCTCTCACTGACGTTCAGGAGCAAAAGCAAGTTCCTTATATTCAATTAGCACCGTATCATCAAATCAATATAACAAACAGCATTTAGTCAATTCATCAATTCAATGTCTCTGTGCGCACGATGATGTCCGATAAAAAAAATATATCTGAGGTGGCCGCTGGGAAAGATTTGATTCACAAGATGTTAAACTCTCTGCTGCCGCAGCAAGTGACCCGAGTGTGCTTCGTTGATGTGGTGGGATATGACGCGTGGCCGGCTTTGGCATGCATGGAGGTTACTTTGTTCAAAAAGCATTCAATCCTTCCCATGTGAGAACTGAGTGAATTGCTGCTAGCAAACTGAATGGTTTGTCAGGTGAATGACCGGCAAATTTTGTGTGCCACCATCCTGCCTGGAGACAATGACGGATCGAAGGCCCACGTGATGAATGACCGCATCGTGTCCAGCTGCTACCATGGGGCTCGCAACGGTGAGATTCAGGTTGAGGGGTTCCCCGACTTTGATCCGTTGCTTCAGGAAATGAAGGCTCAAACTCAAGAGGTAACACAGGCCTCAGGGGACTACAAAGTCACTGCGTGCTTGCCAAGTGGGGCGCTCGTTGTGAAGCCTGGCTTCTTCGAGCAGTTCAAGGGTCAAGCTGGCTTTCAAGAGCTGGTTGACAATCATGACTCAAGGTACAACAAGGACAAGATCTCCTTGGTCGAGCAAACGTCCTCTGTTGCAGACAAGAAATTGACAGAGATGGTCCGCAAGTCTGAGGATGGACCAATTCCACCCGAGCGGATTGCAACGTTGCCCAGTCCGTCAGAACCTTACTTGTGACATGCTGAATAATGTGGTTCTTCTTCTTGCTGTGGTTCCTTTGACTCTCCAGTGTCAGGGATACTTTGCAGATCAACAGCCAGATATCACTGATCATTGACACAGATCATGAAGCTGCCTTCTTCAAGGCCGACACTTCGGAGGAGGCAATACTTCCGGATCGAAGAGAATTGTTCTCTTTTGGTGGGGGAAGTTGGTTTGATGGGGCTGATGCCAAAGAGATTTTGGATACCTGATGTGGGAAGTACTTGCGCTGTGCCCTCACTGTGACGAGCCTTGTCATTTTGGAGTCAAAGCGGTTGCCTGCGCATCTGGCGTCATTGAACTGCATTGAAAAGCCCGTGGAGCTTCAAAGCTTGTTGCGGTCCCTTGAAGATGCTGGCGAGGCTTGTTGCTCATGAAGTGCCAGTCATTCCTCATTGTGATGTAGTCTGGTTGTTCCTTCATTTGTCAACATGTTTATCTTCATAACAAAATACGCAGGTCAAATGTGGCTTCTCGCACCACACCATCGATTTGGCAACCAGTGCGTGTGAAGCTGACAAGCCACTGGTCTTTGTGCTTGATGCAAAACCTGAGGACCTTGACCCCGACCGTCCAGCCAAGAAACCCAAGAAAACCAAGGGTCAGAACAAGAAGGCCAGGCTCATGAAAAGCAAAGCCAAAACAGTCAAACTATGTCAAGCCAACAGTTTTTTTCATTTTGGAGGGAGATGGCAATGAAAAACAATCAAGCCATCTCATTATCTTCTATTCAGGCGTCAGCTGTGAGTTTTGGCAGCAAATTCAATCTGGAGAAGCTTGTCAACTGCTCTGCTTTGGCAGTAGGGTGGCGTGGGGTTCAAGTTTAGATCCTATCACTCTGACTCGCGTTACTACGGGAGTGGGTGAGGCGCCCCACTATTGTTTTTGCACTGCGTGATGTTTTGGCTGTAAAATGTTACAATAAGTCGGTTCTCTTCGGGCTTTCATGGCAGGCTTGAGACCTGTGGCGGGGGATCGACGAAATTGATTCCTCAAAGACCCGTTTGCATACTTGTTGGGCAGTTGGTTTTGCAAGGCAATGAAATTGCCCAGATTATGTAGGATCCTTTTGGCACGCCACTCTCAGGCTTTTGGCCGACCATGAACAGAGTGACATAGTGTGTGGAGGGGGGAAGCTTTTGGAGATGAAATGAGTAATTACTAGTCTTAGATATGATAAGTATTGTGATGATGAATGTTTTACATGCTGCTTTTTTACACATTGAATCTTATTGAACCAGAAAAAGACTGCAACTTAGCACCAGCCAAAGCCACCGGCCTCCATCACATTGCACGTCAATGTGCGCAAACTACACTGTGACCAGCCAGTTGAAAACAGATTTGGCAAAAGGCATCTTTGTTTTCTCCAAATTTACAGTGCTCCAGTGATCCGATTTTGCGCGTGCTGCAGATCTGATTGTACGTTTGATTCAGTTTGTTGGCCCAGGGGTGACACGAGGCCTCATTTTGTTTAAAGATGTCAGAGTCAGATGGTGATGACCTAGCGATTGTTGGCATGTCGGGCAGCGCAAGACCAGCAACGCACGCAGCGCCAGTCGTGCACTCAGTTTGGCTTACGGGTAGGCAAACGGACCGGACTTATATAGTGTAGTAGTTTTCATGTGTGGCCCAGGCTTTCAGCTTGGATGCTCTCTACTCTTCCCGGACATCGGCTCCACCTGTGACACAACCGAGGGCAAAACATGAAACGTGTCAGTCTACCAAGGGTGCTGCCAGCACTGCGGAGAAGAAGGAGGGATCAAGTTTGAACAAGGAAGAAGTTACCGCCAACTCCGATGTGAAGAAGTCAGAAAAAAAGATGGAAGGCGAGGTGCATTTTTGGTAAGCAATCAATAAGTAAGTTTGAAGGTGTCTTTTTTGGAAGGCTTGCCACCGAATTTCACTGGAGCTGACTCATCTGAGTCTGACCAGAAAGCCAAGAAGAATAAGAAGTTAGACGAGAAACCCAAGACGGAAAAGAAAGACAATAAGAGGCTGGCCGCAGCCAAAACAAAACCTGAAAAAAAGAAGAAAAAAGACGAGAAAGAAGGCAGTCCAGAACAGCCAAGTAAGGAAGGCGGTGATGACGAAGACCATGCGGATGATGATGGGAAAGAGGAAACCACTAAAAAGAAACCTTCCACAAGTGAGGGTGGCCGTGGCCGTGCAACCAAATCAGAAGGCTGGGTCCAATTTAGTCATGCAATGCAAATCGTTATTATTTGCTTAACTCGTGCCAGGGAAAAAGCAGGAAGAAAAGAAAAAGCCGGGGCCAAAGCGAGGCAGAAAACATGACCAGGACTCGAACCATATTGAATATACAAGTCAAAAACATCTTATAAACTATTTAAATGTGGGAAATTAGCGCCAGGAAGCAGCGAAGGGTATGGTCGCAGCAGTGGGTGGCGAAGGTCAAAGCCCTCATGCGTTGGGGAGTGAAGCAAAGGACAACAAACTTCTTGGCAATGACCATCACTCGGATTCGGATGCTACCACTTTGGTACTTGGACAGGAGGCTAGGTATCTTTCGCCGCAAAGTTGAGTTCTGTCCATTTCACGCGGCCTTTGGATCCAAAATTTTTTGCGCCGGTTTGCACCTGGGCAGGAAAAAGGACATGACCAAAAGCATGAGGACCTTGGGGCGCAACGTGTTAGGTTCTTGTCTCACATTGTGTATGCCTGACACTGGTCAGGAACAGGTTGAGACGGGCGCGTTGGAGAACACGACGAAGGGCCAAGCTGCACCAAAGACGCGGCCGCAAGCAAAACCAAAAGCAAAGATGGCAGCCATGAAGAAACCAGCCAAGACATGCAAGAAGACAAAGGCACAAGGTGACATCAAGGTTCGCGAGGCGGATTGTTTTGTTTCGTGAGGTTTGCTGCCAGTGACCTTTGCTACCAATAGGCTTGTGTTTGGCCGCCAGTGCGCACTAAAGTGCAAACTGGTAGCCAAGGCATGCCCAATGGTTGCAATGACACTGGCGTGCAAACCAATCTTGTCAAACTATGAATGGTTTAATGAGTTAAATCAAGTTGAAGTCGACATGAAACAAGGCTCACAATACACTGTGAAGGACATGGGGGTTGATGAACTCCGGAAAATTTTGCACCGAGCGATCAACTCAGTGTAAGATTTGTATAGTATATAATTCGTCAAACGTGATTTCCTGCCGAGGCCTACAGTCAGGGGTGGCACTCGGCCAACTTAAAGTTTCCGACTAAGCCAAACAAATGGCGGATTAGTGGGGCCGCCGCTCGCAAGAGTAAACTTGATGAGCTGAAGGGCCTGAATGTGGAAGTGGCAATGACATACACGTTACCATCATGAGATGTGGACCCAACCGTGCGCTGTGGACCGTGGGAAGAAAATGATGATAATGGGAAAATGATGTTGTGGATGGGTTGCAGTGATATGACCTAGCCAAGTGATATGACCTAGTGTGTTGTGACTGGTCTTGCCTGCCAGGTCTTTGCACGCTGAGATGGAAATTCGGAATAAACCCAGCGACGTGCAAACCACAGCTAGAAAAAAAAGGCGTGTAACACTCACTGTATTT